TCTTAACACAATAACTAAGAAAATGACATGAAGGCTATGTTAACCAGTTTGATGAAAATATTTCAAATTGTACACAAAAACACTACACTGTACCCCATGATTGCATTAATGTACACAGCTATGATTTAATTAAAAAAACAAATAAATAAAAATAAATAAATAAATAAAGGGGTCCATAGCTCTCTCAGGCAGGTAGCAAGTTTCTTTATTTTTTCCTGGCTTATATAGCCAGCTGTGCACATGTGCACTGCACCTCATTAATATTCATTACAATCCCTCTGCACATGTGCACTGTACATCAATGACTTCATTAATATTCATTACAATCCATAATCCATCTCATGAATAAACATCTTGTGCCTATCTCATGAGCAGATCTCCCTAGTAATCTACAGATTGATACCACTTCATCTAACATAATCCTTTCAACATAATCCTTTTAACATAACTTAATGGAGAACATGTTAGTCATTACTTCTTTTTGATCTTATCTGATAAAGCCTGAGGCTCTGGGAGAGACAGATAGATCGAATACCTGCCCTACTGGCCTCACCGTTTGGAGGCAGTTACTTTCTTTAAACCAGGCATAGTTAGGAAATTTCTAAGACATACAGAAAACCTGTTTGCAATCCTACGCTCCCATGTGGGCCTTAAGTCAGGAGGTTTTTATGCCCACAACTGACCAGGCTGACCTCAGGTCAGAGGGTTTTACGCCCACAACCAACCCAGCCATATGGGATTCTGCCTCAGTTTCTCACAAGTCTGCCAGCATAAAGTCTTTCCACTGCTCTCTCTCAAACAGCTTTTTTGGCATATAGGCCTTTCACCTATACCCAATCTTACAGAGCTCCCAAGAGAATCCATTTTTTAGCTGTGATAATGAAGTCCCCTAGGCCCAGAGGTGGTGCCTCACACCTGTAATCCTAGCACTCTGGGAGGCCAAGGCAGGAAGACTGCTTGAGCCCAGGAGTTTGAGACCAGCCTGAGCAAGACCCCTTCTCTACAAAAAATAGAAAAATCAGCAGGTCATTGTGGCATATGCCTATAGTCACTGTACTCTATACAGTGTGACAAAGCCAAACTTGTCATAAAAAAATAAAAGTCCCTTAGAAGGAAGAGAAAGAATCCTAACCCCCATCTTGCCACAAAGAGCCTTCTAAAGGAAGACTGACTTTAGGGGATTACAACTGTCAGGCACACAGAAGGCAAAAGTCCCAGGAAATCAGCAGTGCCCATCACAATGTGTTTATAGTGGCTTTTTCCTTCTTTTCTTTTTTTTTTGCAATTTTGGCCGGGGTTGGGTTTGAACTCCCAATCTCTGGCACATGGGGCCAGCGCCCTACTTCTTTGAGCCACAGGCACCACCCTATAGTGGCTTTCAAGTAAAAGGGACTCCGGCAAAAAACAGGACCGTGGTGCTGTCCAGGGTGCTAACTCCACTGCCTCTGGATGTCCGCGGAACTCTCCAAGGTCTTGAGTCTGGCCTCAGAACAATTGTTCTCCAACCTGGTGCTACTCTTTTTTTTATTTATTTATTTATTTATTTATTTATTTTTTTGCATTTTTTGCCTGGGGCCAGGTTTGAACCTGCCACCTCTGGTATAAGAGACCAGCGCCCTACTCCTTGAGCTACAGGTGCCACCCTGCTAGTCCTCTTGATTCTATTTTAAGCTTGATCTCCAGATACTTGTCTCATCCTTTCTCTTCCTTTTGAACTTGGTTAGCAAGAAAGCCACCCTATTCCTGCTTCTGTCACCTCACATCAAATTCATGAACACAAATGACTCCCTAGAGAGGCTCTTCTGGGAAGCTTACTTACGGTTTAAAGATTTCCATAAATGTGAACCATTTGGCTTTAAAAAGTTAAGACATGCTTTAAATAAAACAGCAACGGAATAAATACATCATGGCACACTTTCATTTCTGTGATAAAGACAAAGAGCAGTGTGTCTGGGAGAGAATTCTAAGGGAATACCATTTTTAACTTGGAAGTGAGAAAAGGCTTGAGGATGTGACCTTGGGTTGAGACCTGAAAGAGTGAGATATCTGGCACATCATCAAGAGGACAGCATTCCAGGCTGGAGGAATAACACAGGTGTGGACTCCCCAGCGAAATAAAGCTTGACATCTTGTGGGTAGAAGGAAGTGGTACATCATGATGTCAAATAGTTTTGCAAGCTGTATTAGAGGTTGGATTTTATTCCCAGTGCAATGGGAATCCATTGAAAGCTTTTGTTTTTTGTTTTCTTTTCCAGTCTGTCCCCTGGGTAGGGTAACATGGGATATCATAGCTCACAGCAATCTTAAACTCTTGGGGTTAAGCAATCCTCTTGCCTCAGCCTTCTGAGTAGCAGGACTACAAGTGCCCACCACAGTGCCCAGCTAGTTTTTCTATTTTTAGTAGGGACACGGTTTCACTCTTCTTGCTCAGGCTGGTCTTGAGCCCAGGAGATCCACTGGCCTCAGTCTCCTGGAACGCTAGGATTACAGGTGTGAGCCACTGTACCCAGCCCATTGAAAGGTTTTAAAAATGAACATGTTGTTTTTTAAAACTTACTCTGGCTGCTGATTGGCAGATAGAGATGCAATAGTGGAGAGATCACTTAGGGAGCAACTGTGGTACTCAGGAAATGTTGGTGGCTTCAGCCAGGACAAAAAATTAACACAGTAATCCTAACTGATTCGACAAGTTACTCAGTTGGAGGGGGCTTCTTAACAGTGGCACTGGAGTCAGAGTGCTAACTACTCAATAGTAAAAATCCCCCCAAAATGGAAACCTACTTCACCCAGGTGTCCCACCTCAAAGCTGAAAGCCCTCAGGGGAGCCACCTGTTTCAGATATTTGATATGAACACACCCATTTTCAGATGGTGCTGAGAAGAGATGTCTTTGTGATGCTACCCAACCACTAAGAGTGGGGAAACCTCAGAACTGGATCCCTTGCTTCATCTACAGAGGCACAATTAGGCAGGTACAGCGACAGCTCCAAGCAGCTGTCAAAATAATTGAAACAAGTAGTTTAGTAAGAAAGTTTATTATATCAGCTTGTAAAGCAAGCCAGGCCATCTTAGGAGCTGCAAGTATCAAGGAGAGCACAGTGCTTGGACTTTATATACAACTTTTGAGGTTATCAGTTGCTTCTTAGAAACTCTGCAGTGTCCTAATCAGGCTATTCCCAAAACAACCTGTCAGCATGACCACATCCATCTGTCCATGTCAGAAAGCCTCTGGGACATTGGATAGTCCCTATCTCAAGGTAACCTAACCGCAAGGTCTCGATTAGTCTCACTCTCACAATAGTCCTGGTCAGCCTGACCCAAGCCAGTCCAAATCAGCCAAACCACATCCACTATCCACCCTGCTCATGTCTAAACAACTACCTAACAGCATGTCACCTCCCCCACAACAGCTCTACTGGGACACTGTACCAGACAGATTTTACTATTCTCACGCAACTCCAGCTTCTCTCATGATGCCAATCCCCCATCTAACTCTGTGAAGCCAAGCCACATCTTGACGTGTTTCTGATCCTCACCTCCACCCCTAAGGAGCGCCTCAGTTTCCTCTAACAATCCATCTTCTGTCACCAAGATAGACTTTTCATCCAATCCCTACAGCAGTTTCTCAACTATTTATTTTATCTCACAGCACACTTGAACCTAACCTTCCATAGCACACTTAAATTATGTTGATCCAAAAAAAAAAAAAAAGAGTATATTTACTGTGCTTTGAACTTCTTTCAAAAATAATTTAATGATCTTTAGGCAGCATATGAATTCCTACTCTGCTGTGTCTTTGAGCAGTCTAATGTTTCCTCAACTGTAACACAGAGCTAAGTATCACCTGCATAGTTGTACTGAGTAAATGTGTAGGGATTAGGAAAGTGTCAGGCATATGGTAATTGCCAAAAAAAAAAAAATTACTGCTGTTACTATTTACTAAACTGCAGCTGTAGCTGAAACTGCAGCAACGTGTGAAACTAACAGTTCCTGACCAGTTACTTTAACCAGTTTCTTTCCCAGGTGACTTTTAGATTTTCTGCTCTCAAAATGATACCCCTAGGAATAACTCAACATATGTAGTGGAATAATTTATAGCAGTGAAAATGAACCTATACTGATGATCACATTGCTTAAATAACTAAAAATGACTTAGAGGTTATGGTGAGAGATGACTGCAGTGAGGTACAGGGGGACCTAACATGCCAGCATGTTCTATTTCTCGTCTTGGCAATTATAAGGCTATGTTATTTGTAAAACTTAGTATTATACAACTTGTGCAGTTTTGTATATACTTCAATAAAAAAAAATGTTTACCTAAGTAATTACCCCAACCTGTTATTCACTGGTCTGTCCAAGCATGAGATACAACTGTTCATCCAACTGTTGGCAACTAAGGATGAGGGGCTGGGAGGTTGGTGAAGGCCCCACAGGTGCTACACTCCAGGGGCAGGTAGTCTGTAGAGTGACTCCAACAGTGGCTGGCAGCAGAAAGACACACGGGAGAAAAGACTGTGCAGATTGTTATCACCCAAAGAAAAGGGCAAGCTCTTTGTTTCGCCACTGAGACATCTCTGTAGTGTGCCTTATGACAGAACCACAGCATTCCCCTGGCCCACTAACCAAATCAAAGAGCAGATTGGGCATGCTATTCTAGGCATTAGGTCCGCCCCAAATTTGCCAGCTTAATGCCTGGAAGAGCATCTATTCCAAATAAAACCTGAGTATAAATAGAAAGTGAAATTTTAAGGAGTGAAAGCTTTCAGTTTCATAGTTAAGACTCTTTTTGAGAATGGATTCACTGATAACGGATTTGCAGTAACATCAAAATTTTTGTCATTAGCTTAGGATTTCTACCCACTGGTGGTATCCCGATGTAGACTGGGCTTTTCAGCATTGCAACGGATTTTCAATCTCATCACAATCATAAGGTTTAGGGGCTACCATGACTCTCGCTAAAGACTTTCCCACATTTTATACACACAAGACATTTCTCCACCATCAGAAATGTTATCCCTGAAGATGTTTAAATTTTTACACTGATAATGTTCCGTGTAAGTCAAAAGGCAGGTGCAGGGAAAGAGAACCTAACTCAGACTTGCCTAAGCAAAAAACAAATTTATTGGCTACTGAAATTCAAAAACCCACATGTATTTATAGCTCCAGATGTGGCTTAATGTAGCCATTCAAACAGTATCTTCAACATTTCATTGCTCTTCAATGCCCAGGTATCTCTTTGGCTGTGCTGACTTTATTCTCAGCCTCCATGAAAACCTACTCTTCCTAGCTTTAAAACCAATGGCAAAAAAATAAAAAGAAGAAAAAGAGTACTTCTTCTTACAAGCTCTTGTTCTTACCTAGTCCGGGTACTTTTACTGGACCACGCTGGGTCACCTACTGACATCTGAACCAGTAACTGGCTGGAGGAAAGGATCTGAGACTGAGCCAGGCCTGTGTCACCCATTCTACTCCTGACTGGAAGATGGAATCTAAAAGGATACTGAAGCACTATTACCAGTCAAAAGGGGTAAAAAACTCTGGAAGACCAAAATGACGAATGTCCAGAATAGGCTTCTCTGCAGAGTGGACATGCTCAAGATGAACTAGCTGGGAAGAAGGCTGAAAGGCTCTTGCATACTTGCTACACTCATAAGATTCTTCTCCAATGTGGATTCTCTGATGCTGAAGAAGACTTATTTTATTGGTAAAGACTTTTCCACACTCATCACATACAATGGAAGACTCCTGAACATGAAGTCTTAGATGCCTTTTTAATTGTTTCCGAGCACTGAAGGCTTTTCCACAATTGACACAACCAAATGGTTTCTCCTCATTGTGCACCCTCTGGTGCCGGACTAGTTGTGTACGAAAAGTGAAGGTTTGTCCACATATTTTACAAGAATAAGGCTTTTCCCCTGTGTGAATACGCTGGTGCTGGTTAAGACGGGCAGTCCTTCCAAAGCTTTTGCCACACTTACTACACCTATAGGGTTTCTCTCCAGTGTGGATCTTCCGATGCTGAATTAGTGGTGAACTACCCACAGAAGTTTTTCCACACTTGTTACACTCATAAGGTTTCTCCCCCATGTGGATCCTCTGATGTGTAAAAAACCCATAACTATGGGAGAAACTATTTCCACACTCCTTGCACATATATGGTCTGTCCCCACTGTGGGTCCTCTGATGTCTGATCAGATTGGCACTGTAAGTGTAGGCTCTCCCACACTCCTCACACTGACTGGGTGTCCCTCTAGCGTGGATCTTCTGGTGGCGAATTAACGAAGAATTGCCATTAAAGGCTTTTCCACACTTACTACACTCAAAGGGTTTCTCTCCCGTGTGAGTTATCTGGTGTCTAACATAGCAAGAAAAATAGGTGAAGTATTTCCCACATTCCTCACATACGAAAGGTTTCCTTGCACAGTGGATTCTTGGAACCTCTCCTCGAACAGTTTTCACTGTGGGGATTTCCTGGTGCTTCTCCACCTCACATGCTTCTAGGAAGTCAATTCTCTGAGGAACACTTTTCTTCAGCCCACATGACATTATCATGTCCCTTTCTTCAGAACTGCCTTGTGTTGATGTGGACTCCTTATCAATGCTGGTCTCAGCATCTACCATTAAGAAACAGAAAACACAAATGCCACAGAGAACAATACTAGAAACAACAGAGCATTAAAAAGTAAGTAGCTTTGAAAATTAACACTCCAATCTCCACAACAGCCTGCTGGGGAGGTAAGGCTGTTAGTGTGAAAATACCAAATATCACACGGGCAGAGGACAACCCTGCGGAACAGGGTACCCATGCACACAGCACAATCAGAGTGCTTCCTAAGCTTTCCCACTCTGCTACCTGAATGCCTCTGGTCATTCCAAGTATGATCTAATGTCTTTTAAATTTATGTAGTTAAAGGCCTACAAAATACCAAAGATGACTCAGCTTTAAGAAAAATTAGTGACACTATGGCTGGCAAGGCTCAGAGTCAGAAAAGCAAAGACAAAGAATAAACTGTTGTTGTTTATTTTATTTTATGTATGTACAGATGTATATATGTGTGCATGTTATATGTATCTATCTATCTATTTCACAACAACCTCAAATTCTTGGGCTCAAATGATCCTCCTGCCTCAGCTTCCCAAGAAGCTAGGACTACAGGCTTCCCCCCATAAAAAAATTTCAAAAAATTGAAATTTTTTTTTTATTTTTTATCAGAAATGGGGTCTCGCTCTTGCTCAGGCTATTATTTTTAACATGCCATATCCTGCAAATATCCCAAAACACTGAAGACACTGAGCATTAAGGGCACTAGGTTGAGGCTAAATCAAAAGAAAGTCACAGCAGTGCTTCGAAGACATCACCCTCATGCAGAGGTCTTAACTGCAATCCGCAGGCAAGACTTCGGTGAAGGAGACAAGGAACTACCCTAAAACTGCTGATAACTGCTACAGCTTGTCATCAGACTCTCAAAGTTTGAACTTCAAACATGCAGAGAAACTACTGTCCTAGACTCACTATTTGAAAAGGGAAGAACTTACGCACTTAGACACACCAAGATGGCAGAGCATTCTTTCACATATTAGCAAAAAAGGAGAGAAACAGCAGCCCAACATAATGGCATTTGCAGTTCCAAGGATTAGATGACACGTGAGCTAAGTTTGAGCCAATCTATTTCATATGCAGCGTTGGACTGACTTTGTTCTAATATTAATTTGGATTATCTGGGACTCATTGCTGGTTAATCAAGTTCTTTATATGCATGTAAGTTTAACAAGTACAGGACCTCAGGAGAAATTTATGGGAAGAGGAAAGATCTAAGACTGAAGTAAACACAGTAACCAACAGTCTGAAAGGAGTGATCAGAGTTTTGAGAACCTGGTGATCTGTTCTCATACCCCTCCTCTCTCTGGCTACCAGGCTGTGCAAATGTCATAAAATTAAGACCGAGGACTAGATAACCCCCAAACTCCGTTTTCCCTGCTGTCCCATACTCTGCCATTCACCTTGATCAGGAATCCTGCAGCAGTTCATTCTAGCAACACTTCTTTCTCCCTACACTCCAGTAGAGCCCCCAGCTGCCCAGCTCTCCAGTCATGATCAACTCATTCCTGCTGAAAGAAACCAAGGCTGCCCAAGTCTAGTGTCCTGCACTTTTTCCCTTCAATTTCCCATCCCCAGATCCCAAACTGCCCTCTCAAGTCTCAGGCTTCCCAATCACGCCTGACGCCACCTCCTCCCACAGCCTCTGACTTACTGCCCTAGCAGCCACCTCTTTTCTTCATTTTCAAGCTCCACCTTTAGATCTTCAAACCCACTTGAACTTAGGGATCACCCCATCATTTCTGATTTTTTCTTAGTGTTTTCCACACTGTCTACTCATTAGTCATAAAATGGACAAAGTATGCCACTATTGTTATACAACAATTTTTAATGAAATATGCTAGAATTTTAGAATAAAATAGAAATAGGAATAGAATAGAATAGATTCACAAGTACTCCAACAGTAAGGGTAAATTTTGGTTCTGAATACTCTTTCCAGAGTACATACATATGTGTGCATAGGGTTTTGCTGCAAAACATAGTCCATACTCAGGGTCAAATTCAGAAAACTGAAAAACATTTTCTACAATTTACTGTATTCTTTCATTGCCTAGGCTAAAGCACTGCCCCAACTTTGCATCTTTTCATTCATTTGCACACCACCTGCACTGAAACCCCTGCCTCTGCCTTCAGTTTCACTGTTCACTCTCAGTGGCCCTCCTCTGACGACTTGATTGTCCACTTTCTCTTCCCTCTCTCACTGAAGTTAAATATCCCTTAATATTAAAGACTCAGCCCTCCCTATTTTTTTTTTATCTCCGGGAGGGAGGGGTCACCCAACTCTGGTAGACTGTCCTTTCAAGACCCACCTTCTCCAGGGTCTGCTCCAGCCATCCACTCACCTATTCTGAAGAAGCCTCACACCCTGTACTCAGCTCTACATTCCTATGAATTTAAAAAGCTCCTCCCAAGTTGCAACTTCCAGTATTATCTGACTCAGATCTCCTCTTTTATGGCCTATCTTTGATAAGATCTGGTCAATTTTACCTCCACATTCTCCCTCCCATTCCCAACAGCACTTAATACATTTTCTTGGCTTGGCACCTGTAGCTCAAGCAGGTAAGGTGCCAGCCACATACACCAGAGCTGATGGGTTCAAATCTAGCCCAGACCCACCAAACAATGACAACTATAACCAAAAAATAGCCAGGCATTGTGGCAGGCGCCTTTTGGGAGGCTGAGGCAAGAGAATGGCTTAAGCCCAAGAGTTTGAGGTTGCTATGAGCAGTGACACCACGGCACTCTACCCAGGGTGACAGCTTAAGACTCTATCTCAAATATATATATATATATATATATACATTTTCTTTTCAGCTTCTTGTGTCTGTCTCCATGTGTATCATCTTCCAAAGCTTCTTAAACAAAGCTTGGTACGTGGCAAATGCGTGGAAACTACTTCTGAATAAATCTGTCCCAGCCAAGGAAGGAGGACCACCAAGGTAGGCAATGCTGACACTCACAAAGGAGCAAATGAATTCAAGATTAAAGTGGTTCTCCAGCCTGGGCAACAAGATTCTGACTCTGGAATAAAACAAACAAGTACAGTGCTCCATAAAGCTCTACACCTGTTGGTCTATACCTCACTCACTTACCTTTACAGATGTCTCTGGTCCCTTCTGCAATGGGTTCAACCTGTGCCTCCAGGTCCCAGGGTCCTTCCTCCAGAAGTGAGATCAGTACAGGTTTGGGAAGTGGGTATCCTGAAAAGGAGAAGAAAATGGCAACCTTTCAGCCCTGTTATCTGCTGTGTCAAAAGAAGGAAAACTCCAGGAATCTCAGTAAGTGTAAGACCCATGGAAGGCAGCTCAGGACTAGAGAAAGTCAAAGAGACTTTGATCAATAAGAAACTGAGCATTTGTGACTGTTTCATAAAAAACCACTTGAAGGTAAATAAGTTAGTGAGATTCTGCAAGGCATGTGCAAACACAGGGAAGGAGTCACACTTTCACCAAAGATAGCAAGTCCCTTCGTTGAGACCAAACTGACCCAAGACCTCTCCCTATCCTCAAATCTCTGAAGCTGGTCATTGAGCCTCAGTCCAGAAGCCATTCAGTGGAGGACATCAGAGACAATTCCTCCTACTCCACACCACACCCCCAGCCTGAAAAAGAAAAGGAAGAAAGGAAACCAGAAGGTACAGATCTGAGTCGCAGGAGCAAAATGACCTTACCCACAGTAGTCAAATTCTCATAATTCTCCAACATCACACTTCTGTATAGGGCCCTCTGGGAAGGAGAAAGGCCAGCCCATTCTGTCAGGGTGAAGTACACAGCCACGTCCTCGAAGGTCACCAACTCCTAAAACAATAGGTTCCTGCTGCCCCAGAGCCAATCCTCTGGCTCCCGGCCAGAGTGTGGGGCAGAGGGGATAGTAACAGGCCTGAGTGAGGATGCTGTGAGGTAAGTAATGAGGAAGGTGAAAGAACTGAATATTAGGCATGCTTATTTCTACGACCAAAAGTCTGAAAGTTCTCTACCAGAAGAGCTTCCATTGGAACACAAAATTTGTCATGAAATGTAACACTTTGAAAACCCCAGGGAAAAGTCTTCCATTAGTTAAACATCCTACAGAAAAACCTCTGATTCTGCAAATACTTGTACTTTCAATCTTTCAGTATTGTACTGAAAAGTGAGCAATTAGCTTCAAGTGGCCTCTGAGGACCCATGTGTTCCCATCTTGATGCTCCAAGGGCTCAGCCAATCCATCTGTCCCACAAGCACTCACTCTGTCCCAAACATCATGCCCACATGCAAGAACACAGCATGGTTTGCCCTGATCAGCCGTCTCATCCAACCGGCACCGATGCTTGAGTAAGGGGCTATGCCGCCTGTGCTCAAGAACACCCAGCAGAGACAGCTCAGAGCCAGCTGGGGCATCCAGTCTGCTTCTTGCCAGATCTTGCTAGGACAAAAATCTTCTGTAATTCAATTGCTGCTGCTGGGTAGCTCTTTTAGGGGCTTATTATTTATTTATTTATTTATTTATTATTTGAGACAGAATCCTCCTCTGTTGCCTGGGCTAGAGTGCAATAGCATCATCATAGCAAATAGCAACTTCAAACTGGGCTGAAGTGATCCTCCTGCCTCAGCATCCTGAGTGGCATGAGCCACCAAGCCTGATTAATTTTTCTATTTTTTATAGTGACAGGATCTTACTCTTGCTCAGGCTGGTCTCAAGCTCCTGGCTTCAAGCTATCCTCTCACCTCAGCCTTCCAGAGGGCTAGGATTACAGGTGTAAGCCATTGTGCTTACCCGGGGCTGATCTTTCTACCTCCAAGACAATCGATAATAGCTTCTGCCAACCATGCCCCATGCTCTCTCAATAGCCACTCCTTCCCCTTCCTGATGGCCCCAACCCTACCTTCCCAGACAGTTCTAGCATCTTGTTCAGAGCTGCTATCTACTCCTCAGACTTTGATATCAAATTCGGCTCCTTGGACCCTCAGTAATTCTGCACATCTCCACTTGCCCTCCATCCCAGCACTGCCTCAGCCTCTGGATGTCCCAACACCAAACTCATTTTCCCCTAACCTGGCTCCCTTTCTAATTCATATAAACTAATCAGCACAGTGAGTGACAATTATTCCCCTCACTCGTTAATAATACCAATTTCAGCCCAGTCTTCAATGCTAGAAACTCAAGATTCATCTTAGACTTTCTCACCCCTGACACTACTATTGCTGATAAGCAGTCAGTAATCAAGTCCTGCCAACTGTACCATCTAAATACTTCTGGAATATGATTCTTTTTCACAATGGTACAATCAGAACACTAGTTCAACAGCTGGAAGGAACTTAAAAAGCTCCAATTCTAGGCTCATCCCACAATGAATCCATCCTCTGCCCAGCTGACAACCTGACCAGGTCATCTCCTGAATGAATCACCACACCACAACACCAGTTCTCAGAGTGTAGTCCCCAACCACAGAAATAGGAGCAACCCCACTAGGAACTTGTTAGAAAGGCAAATTCTCAGGACCAGCACTGACAGTAATCTATACTTTGATGAACCCTCCAGTTATTTTGATGCACACCAAAGTTAGAAAATCCTGGATTAGAGGATGAAATACAAGCTCAGAAAACTGAGTGGTTATCAGGTGACCAGTACAAAAATCACAGGAAGATGCGCATCTGTACAGAGAGAAACTACCTGGGAAGCTCTACAAGCAAAATCCCAGAGAAGGAATAATCAACCTTAAATGGAGGTAATGTAAGACTGGACAAGTGGAAGACATTATAGGCAGAAACAATAAGACTTGGAGGCTCACAGACAATGGTATCCAGGGAGAACAGAGCCAACAATTACCAGCAATCTAGAAACTGAAGGATCAGGCAGTGATACAGTGATGTCAGTGACTTGCAGAAAAATCAGACAAGGGTCAGAGCTAAAAGGAAGAGGAAGTAGTCGGGCACTCAGGTAGAAAAACGTGACAGATGGTGAGAATCTGGGACTGGGACTTGGGATACGGTTCATGGATGTTATAAGAAAATCTCAGACAGAAGAAATGATAAAGCAACATCCAGTAACTCCTTCATCTCAAAAAAATGAAATACATTCAATAAATAAATTTCCCTGGCCCCAAAATGAAAAGTACTTATGTTCATTTTACAAATGAAGCCAGTTAAGATGCAAAGAGGTTACATGACCAATTCCAGGTCACCATGCCACTGAGATTTAATGGAATCCCTAACTTTAGGTGTCCTGGCCTAGTGTAGGTTTTACCATGGCAGCCAATTGCCTTGTTCAGCCAGCAGTACTGACCTCAAGAAGGATATGTGTTCCCTGACTGTAATGCCCAAACTTCTTTCTTCTGGAGAACAAATGGTATAGGCCACCTTTTTCTTATCTCCTTCCTGCCATCCTTCTGCTACCCCATCCCAAGACCCTTGCTGATCTTCTCCACCCTATCCAGGATCCCTTCATCACCAACCTGCGTCCCTCACTCTCACCAATCCCTCTGTGGCTGGGAGCTACTGAATCTGAGTATGTTCTGGCCCACAGAGATCCTCAGCATACTGGATGCACTACTGCTTCCAAAACACCTGTCTCTACCTTCACTAGCCCTATGTATGGCTGCTCAGTTATTATCAGCTCTTTTCCTAGCGTCCACTCCTACTAAAGTCAACAGGGGTCTTCCTATTGCTTCAGCTCTAATACCTGCCAGAATAACGTCCAACATCCTCCCCTGACATTTTCTACAAATCAGATCTCTGTAAGGCTGACTTGAAGGATCAACAGCTCACCTGGTGTTGAGCTTTAAGGAGCAAGGCTGCCATCACCTGGGCTCCCTCATAAAAGGCAGGCACTGTGGGAAAAAACAGAGAATTCAAGTGAGCTCCACACAGTAAAAGTTCTCCCTTAAACAATAAACTTGTGAAGAACAGCAGAAGCAATCACTTACTAAATGCCCACTGGGCAAGTGGTATATAAATATTTCCTCTTTTAATCTATACCATACCATGAGGTTTGAAATTCCAAGGAAACAGATGGTGAAAGGATAAGTAACTTGCCCTAGGTCACCAAAGCCTATACTCATCAACACAGGGCAAAAACAAATGCAAAATAAGCAAACAACACCAAAAAAGTTGCAGCAAAACCTATTTTTTAAAAATAAAATTTTACTGAGAAAAATAACAGGTTGAAAATTAGAAATAAGTATGTTTTTGGATGAAAAATATACCCTTATTTGGTAATCACAATGTTCTTCCAACCCTTTTCTTTTCCCAAATGAGAAAACAAGGCTAAGGGAATAATTTTCTCTGTCAATATCACTCAGCTGGTGAATAGACAAACTTGGATTCCATACATGTGCCAGAGTCTTGCTTTTAATAACTACACTAAATTGTTCCCAGTTGTACCCCACAGGATTTCTTTTAGAACCTGGCAAAGTCATTTTAAGATTAATATGGAAGAACAAATAAGAATACCCAGGAAAATTAAAAAAAAAAAAACTATCTTCAAAAAGAATAGATTAAGAATACCCAAGAAAACTGGAAAAAAAAAAAAAAAACCTCTGTGGGGTGTAGTAGTCCCAGCTACTCAGGAGGCTGAGATAAGAGAATCGCTTGAGCCCAAGAGTTGGAAGTTGCTGTGAGCTATGACACCATGGCACTCTAAGTTGCTCTGAGCTATGACACCAAGGCACTCTACCAAAGGCAACAAAGTGAGACTCTGTCTCAAAAAAAAAAAAAAATACAACCCTATCTTGCAGGTTCAATACATAGTGTCCAGTTAAAAAAAAAATAAAGAATCTTAGAGTAAACTTTACTTGGACCTGCGGGCAGGCATTGCTTTTGTTCACTGTCCCATTCTAGGACCCAGTGATAGTCACAAATCAGTAAAGGACCCTGAAAGGCCACCTCAACATGCCAAAACCTCTCTCTGGGTTATTTTAACCTTATCATCCCCTACAGATACTTTGTATCCTTGTTAAACAGTGAAACTCTACAAAAAGTTCCCCATCTTCCCAAAGAGACTCAGTGCATGACTCAGTTTCCTGTAAGCTTCAGCTTGTGCCACCCTCCCTTCTGTGAGTTTAAGTATACTGGTTTTCTTTCAGCCTCCTCTACTATGCTAATTAATAATTCATAAGTATGGACCTCCATACTTAACTGATTCTTCTGCATGAACTACTCTTCTGCATGAATTACTCTTCTCCTACCTCAGGACCTTTCTAATGGAAAGTCTCTGACTGCCATACTCCCCAGCACCTATACTCTCTTCACCTTCAGATCACGACCTGTCTCCACAGACCAGGTAAAGTCCCTGTTACACTCTCCACTAGCAATGTACTCCTTTTCCTACATACCACCTATTCCAGTTTGAGATTACATAACATACTGACTGGTGCTTTCTCCATTCCAGAAACATTTCCCCCATACGTATTTCACAGTGGGCCATGCTTGAAAACAGGAGATGCAGTTAAGAAAGACCAAAAAAGGCCTGATCCCTTCCCACGTGGAGCTTAGCCTAAAAGAAAGACGCGCGTTCATCAAAGATTCCCACAAATAACTTCAAGATCACAACTGTGATTAGTGCCAGGAGGAAAACTAACCGAGATGGGACGGCTTAAGGGTATAAATTAGGTTAAAAGGGAAACCTTTACAGAAGTTAACAGCATGTGCAAAAAACATGTTCTAGTAGTGAAGGATTAAGAAAGCTGTAGTAGCACCGCCAAGGGGGGGTGGGGGTGGTGCTGCAAGATGATGCTTTAGAAATCACAAAAGACAAAGCCACACCTTGCACAAGTCAAGGACTTGGTTTTCGACTTACAATAGGTCACGAGCAGTGGAGTGAAATGCTCGATGTGACTAACAGGCGACTTTCCCATTAAGCTGAAAGCTACTGGGCCGGGGCCCGTGCCCACTGTCACTCCCAGCAGCGTTCCGAGACCTAGAACACAATCTAGCATCCAGCCGCTCCGTAGTTGTTTGGCCAATGAGCAGAAGCGCTCTCTGGCTGCGTCCGGTTCTACCCAGCAGCCCACACGCCAATCTCCGTTTCCCAAAATAGCCAGGGCGGGAGGGAACAAAGGCGCCCGCGGGAGAGCGGGATTGGCCCGCAAGCTGCCTTCGCTGTCCGGACCCGGAGGCGTCTACTGACTCGCCCCACCGCGGCCGCAGGGACGAAGCAACAGCCTTCGGCCAAGGTGAAAAGTCCGAGCCTAGCAGAAACTTGCGGACTGCACACCCTCAACGCTCACCTCAGCAAAAGCGAAACGCGAGGGGCGCGGCGGGGCCGGAAGTGCGTCACCACCCCGCCTGGCTCCGCGCCGCGAGCTTCCCCTCTAGGATGCAGAGCGCTCCTCTCGGTGCTCCTCTGGCTTTGCTCCCTGTAGCCCGGGTTTTTAAGCCGGAATGTTTAGAGACCCTAACTGGAAAAGAAAGTATGTCGTTGTTTTTGCTCAGATCTAAGTGAAAGGTAGCATTTCCTTCCATTGTGTTGGCAACAAACCGCAATGTTATCGCTGTACCTGTGACTTTGTCACCAACAGAAATCATGTATTTTCATATCATATTAAGTTTGATGCACATCTCAAAATACGGCAGTTCTTGTTAGGGAACAAAGAGAGGCCCGCTGCCTCTCACCGTCAGCCAATATGCAGAGAGGGGGATTGGTCCACGAAACTTTGTCAGAAGCCTGGGATTCTGGAGAACAGTGGGAGTAGTCTCTCCAGGACTGTTCTGTTCTTCCGTTTTCAAAATTACAGTTTTATACATTTGAATTCAAAGTGAAGACCATGATAACCCTTATCTTGAACAATAATCGGCGGAACCCATGATCCATAGTAAATAATAATCAGTATAACTCAGGATCCAAAATAACATTCCAATTCAAAAGTTAGTCTCCTAAATCAATCCACCTAAACTATGATAGGGATCTTTAGGGTGGGAGCTGAATTTATAAAACAG